TGAACCGCAGACCAGAACCGTTACCAGCAGAAGTGCAGTGCTGTGTGTACAGCTGGCAAAGAGTCCACACACCAACACATCTACATCAGCAACAGGGAAGAGAGGGGTAATCCACTGCTTCCACATTTCGCAAAAAGTACCTAATTGACAAAGTTAATATGACCACAAGACCCGTCCTTGCCTCACAGCAGGTTGTCATGACAAGTCCACAGGCAATACTGCTTGCCAACGCCCAGGCTGTCGAGCCCTGAAGTGATACGGAAAGGTTAAGAAAAGTTCCAACAGAGAAAAATCCACAGGGGAGGCAACTGCAACTCCCCAGCAGGATCCTCGCAATTACAGGTGAGTAACTTCTGTAAAGCAAATACCACGCTAAAGCTCTTGCACAGGTACAGCGCTAGGCAGCAAAGGATGAAAAAAAAATCTCTTATGTGGAAAAGCAAAACAGACGGAAATAAAAAAAAAGTTAAATACTCTTGCCATCCTTTCACCCCAGTATTTTCTTCAGTACTCTCTCTGTTCCCTGAAATCAATTGGGATGCCCACTCCTCCATAACACATAGAGACCAGCAGCAACCTTGCTGGGAACAAGAGATCAGATCCTCAACTGGCAAATATGATGTCAATCTGGACTGCAGTGAAGCAATACTGTATTCTATCACTTCAGGCATTATCCATAAATCAGTTGCTATTAACTGACTAACAGTAACATACTAAATCAATTATTTAAAAGTAATACCAAGCAAGGACTGAGAAAAAAAGAAAAAAAAAAAAAAGCACTTTCAGGGAAAGTTAAAAAGAACAAGAAAAACCTCCCCAATTCCCATTGTTGTTGGGAAGCACAGAAACAGATAACTTCTATATATAGTGGGAGCTAATAAAACATTATAACCCACAGAAAAAAAGTACAGAACACAAACACTTTGTTTACCTGACAAAATTGCAGTGATTCAACTTAAATGAATTTTTTGACTACTTCAGTCTCACTAGTACAAATCAGAATGTGGAAATTACTTCCTCTTAATAATGTTTTATTGTGATTGAGGTCAAATCTGTGCCCCTCTAACTTAAGGTAACCTAGAAAAAACTGCTACAGAAGTTGTAGGTGCTCTGAAGCCGTTCAGTTCCTGCTGGTGTGTAAATCAAGTGTAAACTTCCCACTTCAGTAAAGGTCTAAGAAAAACATAACAGTTAACTGTGTATAATAATAAAAATTGCACAATCTACCATGCAATGAATACTAACTCAGATTCTGATGGGTCTTCCAGAACCTCCACCTATTCTGTTATTCTGATTGTTTTGGTTTTTTAAGGCCTCTGGTTGCAAAGAGCAATACTGAAACCACAGCCCATCCATAATGCAGCAACACCTGCCTGAATTTGCAGAGAAACTGATGCAGTAATTTTGGTTATAAAAGGGTCATGACTCAAATGTCAATGACATTACTTCAACACTGTTGACAATGCACTGCTAATCAAAGCATACAGGAGAGATGAGGATGAATACCTACGCAGCCTATTTGAGTGACTGCTCATTTTGAGTAGGCTTTTAAAACAACATTGCTGGTAGCAGCAATACTGTAAGCTTAATTTTCTTGACAAGTCGGGATTCAAGTTTCCAAAGTTGAGAAATGCTGCATTAACTGATGAAGACTGTAATTCCATCTGCAGGAACACAATGAGTTTGAACTTTGCTCTTGTGGTCTAGCATGTCACTAGAAACCTTTGCTGGATTAACAAAAGTAGTACATGCAGTTGAGAGTGCATTACCTCAACAACAAAATGTTTGAGGATCCTTTCCACAACCAGCAGCAGAAAAACAAAGAACAACCGAAACTTGAAAGAAACTATTTGTTCTACCTTATGACCTAATTTATAATCCCAAAATATACCATCAACTAAAGTAACAGTTTATTTGTAACTTCGCTTTAAGATCATCAGTAACAAATACATCTTTACAGCACTATAAAATGTGAAATTTTGTTTCTATAGAGTTGTTCATATTGTAGATTCTAAAATGTGTTATAAAGCAGGGAGTAAGCCAGCATTATGTAGATATGAACCAAAAGACATATCTTCCTCAGCCATAATTTGTTCCCACAGAGCTCTGGATCTCAATCAGCTTTGGTCAGAGCAGCTAATGTTTTCAACAGATGCTGAGGATTAGGATTTTTTTTTTTTCTTTTAAAACAAATAGAAGGAAATTGCCATCATATCTCATCCAAATGACTGCATCCTAAATTTAGAGCAGTATCTTAACCTTCTAATCTGTACAAGACCTTGCTCTGGGATCACATTCACTTTATGTGTCCATCTTCACTGGCTTGAAATTCAAATGAGAAGGGAAAGCACTAACAAATGTTTTCTGATAAGTATTTCTAGGGAATATCTATGAGGAGAAGGGTGGAAATTTTGTCTCACTAACGTTACCTTCTTCCAAAAGCCACCTGCAAATGAACTTCCTATTGACCTGATCACCCCTAATTGTACAGCTCACCAATGTCATCTCTCCTCATAATTTCATCTGACAGGAAAACACTCGAGAAAATGAGGCCAGAGTCTATACAGAAGGAACCAGACTAACAAGAAACTTGCAGAAAAAGTAGGTTGCCCAGAAGTGAGAGGTCTGTCGCAGGTGCCCTGAGCTTCTCCCTGTAGTTCCCACATTTAGGAATTTCCTCTGTTGCACTGAAGACCAAGAGGTAAGTCTGTTGCTAGTCCCACCAGATGGAATATTTCACCCCAGACACCTACACACCCTTATTTTCTCATAATTTTTAATAGCTGCCTGATGCTGAAGTAAATGCAAGTATGCTTGCCATCTTTGGTTCAGCTCCATATGTGATGTCCTACATTCAGGGAGCTCAAAGTGAAATTATGTTAACCTCCCTTCACTGGCAAGGTTCAGAGAGGCAAAACGTGACTTTGTCAATGTGGCAGTGTAAGAAAAGGAATCAGATGGAAACAAAATTAAAGCCACTGCTGAATCCAAAGCCACCTCTGTGTTGTCATTTTACTATTTATAGGTGACATATCGTGCAGGTATCTTGTCAGATTTTAGGTTTAATTATCTGCACTCCTCCTTTGACACTCTGGCAGGGGACATTCTCATTATTCCAAACAGGTTTTAATATTTGAAATTGGAGAGTTTTCTGAAGGTTGTGACAGAAATGAACAAAGTTCAGATGCAGAATAAATAGGAACAGCTATTCAAGTGGAGAGAGAAAGAGAGGATGTTTTTAAAATCAGAACAGGTATTTGAGTCAGAAGTGGAAACAATTTGGTGATTTGTAAGGGGAAGTAAGAGGATATATAATGTTAAACACCTTTGAGTGAACCAGGTTTCACCTAAGACAATAGGAACATTACCATCGACAGGGACTGGATTAGTGTTTTATCCCTCAACTTCGGTAACTGTGTTAAAACCAGTAGTTTCCTGTGCCACTAGTTAAGCCTTTTTAACCATATTCTTTACTTTGCCTTTTGTGCATTCAACCTTTCCATGCACTATTCATGGCACCAAGTACGTTATAAAGTATTTTATTAGTCTTTTGCAGTAAATAATTAAAATATAAGATATATATCAAGCCTTAGAATTCACAGTATTAGAATTATATTTAAATATTCATTTATAGGATTGTGTCTCTCATGCTAAATGGATACCAATATTGACCTACAGAAAAAAGTGTCTGCACAGTTACTGGCTTCCTTTGACACTAAACAATACAAAAAAAATTAAGTCATTTGGACATAAATAAATTTTGCGTCAGGAAATCTATGAGCATAATGAATTAGAAAAATGTTTTAGATTACCTTGTTCATCTAGAAGCTGAAGTAGAACTAATACTTTCAATACATCTTCAGGGATTTATCTTGTCTAGCTATGACTTTCAAGTAATGAGAGTCCATCACTTCCCTTGGGAATCTAACCCACAGACTACAAAACATCTGGGACAAATTCCTGGCTGTGGTAAACTGGTCTAGTTCCATTGGCTTCAGGGTAGCTAGAAGGATTTTCACCAGCTGATATATTGTTACAGGACTACAGAGCAAAGCAAAGTCAAATGTCATCCATTTTTTATAACTGTCCACCTCATTTAACACAATAACTCTTAAAAGATTTCAGCACCGTAGGCATCTTTGTTTAAAACGCTTAAACAGGAGAGAAAATGCTAACCAATAAACAAAGGACCTTTAAGATTCCAAAGCCATTTCCCCACGTTTCCATGGAAATGGGGACCTCGCTCCTTAACCAAGATGACATTAACGATCAGGTGCCCGGAGTCACACAAAAGAGAAAGACGACAGAAATTACCAGCTACTCAACAGTGTGTCAATCTGGAGCACAACCTCCCCAGTTAGGGGTAGGGCTTGATATCCCTTTTACAATCGCAAAGCTTGGGCAGAAACAGCGCGCTCAGTGTCAGAACAGAGAAGGGTTGCTGCCTTATTTTTAAACTGGCTTGCTAACTAAGTTTGCTAACTATAGAACTAAAACAACTAAAACAATGTCATCATCATCTGAGGGAGGAAGAGAAGGAGGAGGAGAAAGAAAGGGCAGCTTTAATAAAAGCAACACTATAAATGTGTTGCCACACTCCAGCCCCCTCGCAATGTGTCTGTATCTCGGTTTTATCTAGCCCTGCCACCCATTGCTGGGGACTGGAAAGGATCACTCTAGATTGCTGTGTTTGCAATTATCACCATTACAGCATGAGCTGAAACCGAAAATCAAGGCTGTACTGAGCTAGGAAAGTATACTGCAAATGAAAGACCCTGCTGCTAAGAGCTGTTGGTGTAACAGTGAGTGGAAAGGAAGCAGAGGCATGAAAATTACTTGTCCAGGTTCAGCCTTTGCCATGGCCAAGACGAGAGAAGCCAGGTTCCCCCAAGACCTCCATCGCATCCCCAGCCACTGGATAGCGCTGCCTCTGTACTGGGCTGAGAAGACTTCCAACCTGGCAGATCTGAACTGCAGATGACTTAAGACCTACCCCGTTCTTTGTTCATTTGTGTCAAAATGTCCTGACTCTCCATTTGCCCTAAATGCAATGTCATCACTTTTCACTGAGCAGAGCTAGAGCTTTTGAAAGGATTCAAATGAAGAATGTGCAAGATCAGTTTGCACAGCACCCATCCAAAGGGGAGGACCTGGGCAAAGAAACATCACCCACCACACAGGTGCTGAACTATCAAGGAAAGAATCCCCCATACTTTGACCAGAGAAATCCTTCTGTGTGCCTTGAGATCCAAGGGAGGAAAAAAGCACTACATAGGGTAATTCATACCTCCATGTCACACACACAGGTGTACATTTAGCAGAGAAAATATCTGCCAAATTACTATTTTTCAGGACATCAAAAGGATACCAAAACCCAGTATCCTCTGATTATTCCTACACAAATTTTTTTACTTTGGATCCTCCTGTTCAATGCTGCTCAAAACATAGATCTCCTGAGATGTCACTGGGACCAACCTTTGGGAACTGGTGCTGAACCTTGTGATTTTTAATACAGGATGAATATCAGTAAAGTGAAATTAAAATTGTGTCTGTAAGCAGGCTTGCCAAACAGAAGTTACATTGTGGAGACGAAAAATCAGACGTAATTTATTAGTATGGTCTTCTAGGCATGCAAGGCATAGAGAGGCTGCATAAAGAAAATAAAAAGTACGTTCCCTGTCTCCTCACAAATCTAGATCCATAAAAGAGTGGTTCCAAGCTAGTCCACAAAGTGGACCAGTCTGGGGTCCTTCACACCATGACAACACATGAAGTCAAACGCTGAAGATCTGGGGCAGTAGGTCTAGAAGTTTGAAATTTTTTTGTCAATTCTGTACAAAAGCATGGGCCCCGCCTCAGATGAGCTCAGGGCACCAGAAGGTAGAAGGAATGCCAAAGGCAATCTTTCACATAGATTAGAATAAAAGACTAGCAAACATTCAAGAGTTTTTAGGTTTGTTTGAACATGAAAGTCTCGGCAGACTTCACTGTGAGCCAGAAACAGAAAATATATGCAAAAGAAATACCTTATATACAGAATTTCCCAAATGCTGCAGTTATTCTACATATTAATCTGGAAACAGTTATACAACAAGCCATTAATATATGTATTCTGAACAATTATAAAGAGATGGAATTCAAACAACAAGAATAGTTTTCAGAGTAATGTGCATTATATTTGCATACGGTACTACCTGCAACAAAAATGTTCAGGTGAAAAAGTAAATGTGGGTGACTCATTTTACGGTTGTGGTGTTTTCCTTCTTTTTATTTGAAATATGGTCAAGTCAAAAACCTCCACAGAGGTCCAAGCACTATTCTGATTCTGGATCGACTGTCATGCAAGTGATCAGCTTGTAGCCTAGTCACACCAACAGTAAACTAACTGTATGACGTTGAAATGAGACTCTCAAGACACTTTGATGAAATGGAGTACTTAATGCAGAGGAAAAGAACGGTTGATTTGTTTTGGTTTAGACCATACTAATCAAAAGCAGCAGTGCTTTGCCAACTCGGGCTCCAAAACTCAGATTTACATAAAGACCAGGACTAGAAATAATTTTATGTTTTGAGTAAACTCAATGAAGATACAAAATGTAAACACTAAACACAATCTGTGATATTGATTACAGTAAATATATGAATCATGGTGCTGTATCTACATGTCAATATATTTTATACTGGGATTGCCTTTGAAGTTAGTATACCTGTAAATCGATTAAAATTTAACCAGCTGAGTATAACAACAATCAACTTATTTGGCTTTTGCCACATTTAGTATTTCAGCATCCTCCAGCATTTATTGATTTTTCTAATAGTGTCACCATGATAGAGAAACAATATTTTGACTTTCAGAAATTAAAATGGAAACAAAATTATACTGGTGGCTTGTTCAACTCCCTACAAAAACTCAAGAGTACTGAAGGAAATCAAAGCTAGACTCTCAGACCATTACCTGAAGCCAGAAGACCCACACGTTCTTTTCCATGTCTGTTAGTGTTTATTGGTAACAGAGCACTGTGTTAACCTACCAACTTAAAGAAAGCTGATGGATGGTGTTTGCATCTTCTCTAAACAGTACATAAAGGGAACAAATGGAGACATTTCACTGAAGCAGGCAAGACCAAGCACAATGTGACAAAAGATAGAGAGTGGGTGTAAAAACAACTTCTCCTTTCCTGTTCTTTAACTTTTCTCTCCCCTGTGGTTCTGTATGCATTAATTTTAGTAAAGGCTTGGGACTGTATTCTGGTACAAGATATATTGAGAGGATTTTAAAACCCCATATAAGTAACAAAACAAAAAAAATACCATATCAATTATCAATTTCCATATCAATTTTAAAAAGCAAGTAAAAGCAAAATGACCATTACTCTGGAACAGTCTTTGGGGTAAAAATTAGAAACACACAGTCCACTATGGTAATCAGATAGCACAGTTATGAGTGTGGAGCATTAAAGTAACAGAAAAGACCAAGCTGCTGATGATATTCTTGTCAATTGTGTTTGGAAGACAGGATTTGAGCTACCAGAGCAAGGGCCCAAATATCAAAGCAGTAAAGACTTTTTTCAAAATAAGTTACTCATCTTTGCATCAAACTTAGTTTAACTAACTGTTTTTTGAAAGCCACTGGACGAACACCTCTCAAGAATTAATCAAGTCTATGCTGCAGCATGCTGCTGCCTATCAAGATGCCAGAGCTTACTCTGGCACTGGAGGACGTACGGATGCGTTAGCACGATGCTCTGGCTCGGCAGGCTGGCACCTGTACCCTGGACCAGCTGCTCGCGTCTCTGCATCGCGCCGTGCCACGGGGCATACACACACCACCCGCGGTGCATCCAGCCGCTGAGAAATCTTGGCATGACCGGCAGAAATGGGCATTCCATTTACTGCTCTGTTCCCCAAAGAGACTAGTCCTTGCTGTGAAGGCAGCTCTCTTGAAAGGGTGCAGAAAGCACCTCCCTCCCCTGCCCAAGCTCACTCAAGTGCATCTAAGCGGGAGCGCAGGGCTGGTAATGAGGAACAGAAAGAGGATGCTACAGCACTGGGCAGACCAAAAAGTGACCTCTTCTGGTTGCTGCTATCTGTGCCACCATTATAAAATGGCTTAAAAAAAATAATAATTTCAAAATATTTAACTTCAATGACACTACTGTAATGTAAACAAGATAAAATAAAATCAGGACCCATCAGACAAGCCATACTGAGAAAAACGACAGCTTTTGCTGTATCAAACTCAATTATTCATAAGGCCAGACAAAAGTTCCTAGTCTAAGGCCCTGTTTTTAATTGTCTATGGGCTGCACTATCCTCTAAACACACAGGCTGAATTTGCTTATGATGGGTCACTGCCTCAGGACGATGAGGGTTTTTTCAGTTTTACCGAAAATACTGTAGCTATAACCAAAAACAAAGTCAGAAGAAAACATAATTTATTCAGTGTTTAAAACATTCAGGAACCTTTGATCTATTTTTTTGTAGCAATAACTTACATTTGTCAGAAGACAGAGGACTCTGTGACAGACAAGCACCTTTTATAGCCCTTACGAAATTCCACTTGACCCTGCCCAGGAGGTAAACCTTTGCAATTTCTTGTGTCTCACATGCCTTCCAAAGTTTGCTCTGAATTAAATAGCTGAACTGCCCAAAGACCTGTACTGAGGTTGACAAGGCCTTTCCCTATAGCTGTCAGTCTAGGCTACTAAATCCGGGTCCAGATGAAATGAAATTAAGGAGCTTGTCACTGCTCAACTGCCCATAATCCTAGTCACATCCAGACAGCACGGAAGACAACAACCTTTTATAAAGATGTGTTGAGATACCAGCTCACATGGGAAAAAAACTTGGGCATACCAAGAACTAAAACCCAACAGGAGGAAAAATCTAGGACTGGAATTTAAAGTGGGACACTGGGAATGAGGATTATGGCTAATGGAGGTAGGGAAATCAGAAACACTTAGTAAGGCTGCTTGTCCAAGGCAGACACTCGGTGTTCCTGTATTCCCAGTTCATAAACGGGGCCAGCACAGCATTCAGGATCAGACAGGACCACTGCAAAGACTGTTCATGAAACACTGGGCATCTGTGCTGTGGTGAAGACCAGAAAGAAAAAGAAAAAAACCCAAAAAACAGTAAGTCCATCGATAATTCCTTCATCATTGCATGGCCTGAATAATGCCATGAGAAACAATAAGGAGAAAACAAAATATTGAATTGCTTCTTGTTCAAAGACGCTGTGCACAGAGGGAAGCAGGAATTCTGTGGAAAAACAGTGTGCAACTGTGTAATTAAAGACTGAATCATAATGCATATGCGCAAGCGGGTGGGAAAATTAACATCCTGGCATTTCCTAACTTTTGCATGTTTGATTTTGCAGTCCTGATAGCACTCTTTTTCCTTAGGGCATTATACTGTGTCCAGTATGTAAACAAACGCTCGAGGCTGTAATTCAGCATTGTGCTTCCCAAATCAACCAGTTGCACCCTGCTGAAGCATTTCCTTGCAGGTGCAGGCATCAGCTGGTGCACTTGCATCACTGCAAGGGTGGCAGGCACCCGGCGTACTGCTACGGGGGAGAATGCCCAAACCCAAACCAGTTTTATCCTCACTCTATAGAAATACCCTGAAACAGAACTCTAAGAACAGGTCCATTTCTGCAAGTGAAGGATTGACAAGAAAACTAATAAATACAGGGCAAACAGTAGGTGTTGCAGAAATAGCCCTTAAAAGAAGATCGTAGCTAGTGCACAAAGACAAGTGCTCACAAGCAACTTACAGCAACTCAGATGAAGGGAACCCAGAGAAGTCAGTCGCTAAGGGAGTAAGTTCCAACACAAGCTGTCAAAGGGTTGTTGCAGCATCAGTGAGGGGGTGGAGGAAGAAAAAAGAAAAATCTCAACAGTGTCTCCTTTTAAGGGACTTAGATTGGCTGCAGGCACCTAACCCAAATCACAGGCCACATTCCAGTATTCCAGTTCAGGCAAGCTCTCCACCTTCCTCCCATAACTCCAGCCTGCCAATAAAACATGTGATAATGAATAATCAGATTCCAATAGTCTGGGTTTTGCCACTTGAAGCACTATGTGGGCAGTTCAGAGGCTGTCGATATGCATTGTTTCCTCTTCTTGCAGAGATATGCTTTCGGTTTAAATTATTCCACCTCAAAGCCAATGCAGTGACTCAAGGACTCCAGGGGCTGACTGTATTGTATTCACTTCCAGAAGAAAGAAAGAAAGAAAGGAGGAAGGTCACATTTTACATTTGGATTGCCTATAGAAATGCTTGCAATTTTTGCAGTTGTCTGATATTAAGCATTATTTAATAACAAGTGAACAATGATTTTGTTACATAGCACGTTTTGTAATTTTCACCTCCTCTGCCTGTGCACTGAATGCATGTGGAGGAGCAGGGGGAACAGAAAATAGATGTCAAGAAACTGAACACCAGTACGTCCTAGGAATAGCTGCATTTCTGCTGCCACTGCCAGTTTCTCATGTCTCTGACCAATCTTCCTCAGGTAGCATGTCCCCATCTCTCTCAATGACACTCCACCCTCAAACCACATCTTGGGGTACAGCACATCACTCAGCCATCCCTATCTTGCTAATTCAGCTGGGATTAGCTAGCAGTCTCTCCTTTGGGGAAACTGAGCTGTGGACCACATCAAAACAGAGCATCAGCTAAGATCAGTCCCCGGAACAAAGCAGAGTAGAGCAAAAGGTATTGGGAGAGGGGAAGGGAAATGACACACAACACAAAATGCCTTGCTAGCAAGCTCGCTTTGCACTGTCATAGGCAGATGTGCTTTAGGATCTCGATAATATGGGTGTGTGTCTGTTATCCCTCCACTTTAAAGCCTGCCTTAAATCCACTCATAATGCTGCCAAAACCACCCTGCAAAATTCAATAGAAGGCCAAACCAGATCACCAAAACAGATGCACCTCTAGGGCGCCAGGTGTACCACGGATCCACTTCCTCCTTCCAACACGCACTTTATGGCAATCATCTGGTCACCTTAACACACACACAGCAATAGCCCAGCCAAGACTCCATTTTAATATATCATCACAGTCTGTTCCAAATCTATTAATTACACATATTTTGCTCAGAACATTCCCAACTAGTTTTTCCATACCTCATAGTATGCAGTGTGAAGCTAAGAGTTTGCAGCTTTTTTGCCAAAGATAATCAACCCTCCATACTATAATAACAAACTAAATGAGCAACAGACTAAGGAATGACAAAATATTTTCAGCAAGAGTAAGAGTATCTCTGTGCTGCAAGTTTATTTTGTCTGAGATTATCTTAAGAAAAATGTATTTTTTCCCTTGCCGCAGGAGCTATCAAATCACATTGAGGCATCCATTCCGATGCAGCAGTTTGGCTGGGTCTCCCCAGAAATGTGCTCCCGTTGCTAGTCTATGTAGACTGCTTCAGAGGAAACAGAAAACAGCAGCAATAGAGGATCTGATTCTTTGGGACAGCTCTGTTACAGGTAGAAAAAACCCAGCACAACTAGAAATTTCCCACCCCAGTTCCATCTGCTAGCCAACTTATGTCCTCCTCATTGCTGAAATTTCCTCTTCTGCAGCATTAATTCAACATGCTGCAGTTAACTACTTTTGGACTAGTGCCCTCAGTTACATTTATTTATACAACCACTGCCTACCACTAACAATTCACGCTAACAGCTGAACTCAGTATACAAGTGAATCTGGCAGTCAGTGTTACAAAATACTTTCCAGCAATACTTGATCTACTACCAGTTGGTTTCAGCGAGGGAAGTGTGGTTCTACTAGAGTAGAGCCCTGGTGAACATTTTGGTTCATTTTAAAATAAAAGGAACTATTTTGAAAGAGGTGTACAGTACAGTTTTCAAAAATGCCTAATGACTTGAGAACCTAAAAATAGCCTTGGGAATTTAGTGCAGTCACCGTGATTTGGCAGTCAAGCCTAGAGTTAGACCTTCAGATTGAGGGCAGAGGCAAGAGACAAGAGTCAAAGAGGGCACAAGTCAAGGCAAAGGGAGTGAACAGGGACACACAGGGTGGGAGAGGAGGACAGGCTATGCCATGGGCTCAAGCCTGGCAGAGCCCAGACATCAGTCTAATCTCACAGCCACCGTATACCCACGTCCCGGAGATCCTGCACTGGGGACAAACCAGGACAGCTCCTAATAGCTCCCAGCACCCCCACAAACTCCTGCAGAGTATGGTAAGGAGATGCCAGCTCCTTATCCAGGCCAAGACAGTGTACGGGGAGAGCAGGTTTTAACAAAGAAAGTGAGACTTCTTCAGTCACGTAAGTTTTTTGGATTTTTTTTAAGCTGTTGCCCTGTGCCCTCTTGGGAAAGCTCCATTCATCTAAAAGTCACAGGAGAATGAACCTCCTGTGTGAAGCCCTGGCTTTGGACTTAAAAGTATTTCATTTAAGCCTGATCCTGATCAGCTAAAGCTACACTAAGAAAAGTAATGTAAGTAAAAATATTATCGTCCAGATTAATACTGTGAGCTTAAGTTTATGTCAGAAGTTAAATCACCTCCCTTCTCAGCACAACCTTACTTTGCCAAACAATTTGTCTCCTTAATCATCTGTACTTCCTCTTTTCTTTGGCGCTTCCATAAAAAAAAAAAAATAAAAACCTTGAAAACTCCTTAATATAAAGCATCTCCTACTGCATTTAGAAAAGAAGAACAAGGAACACATATATTTGCAATGGTAATGTTAATGAGAGAGAAAACATAAGAGCTACTGTGACATGTAAGATCTGTTGGAGTCCTAGCTGGTCCCCTTGGG